TGCCTCGACAGGGAAGCTGAAAATGATCTTGAACCAAAACAAATTTGAACCTTTGGGGACAAACATGTGGACAGAGTAATTTGAGAAACTTCGTCGACGATGCAATAATGTCCTGCGAGAAAAGATAGCACTTGTGGGAGATGGAAGACGAGGACAAGCAAACACATCAACAGTACCTCCAGGAAGTATAAATAACGCCATGATGGACCTACACAATGGCCACCATAGTCCACATGAGTGTAGCAATTACGGTCGTCTTTCCCAGGTATACCGAGGATGAGCGCATAAGGGTTCATACCTGAGCTTGCGACGACACGGAGCATGTTGCAAGTCATCAGCAATGGTCTCATCGTTATCGGATAAAGGGTATCGCAGGTCCGCGACGAGCTATAGACGCCTGGCATCTCGCTTTGCATAGAATAGTTGGGCGAGATTATATCTCGTCCATGCCATGCCGCCACTCGCAAGAGCTGATCTCCTCTAACCCTTGTTTCATTGAACACAATTTCACTGGTGGCTAGGAAAGGAAGCAGTGTTGAAGTCGCTGGGTTTGAACGTGGCAAAGGGTGCTGCCGCTGCGATGAAGGATATCAAGATCCTGCCTAACAAGTCTGGTGTTCCGAATCTTTGCGACAATGCAAAAGCTGCTGCACAGGGGTAAATGGATCAGGCTGATGACCTCGGGGGACAGTTAGTGCTTTCTTACCCTGGCTGTAACATGTTCTCCATCCGCCGCATAACGACCTTTTATTAGTCAGACACTCCTCGACATGTCACACAACAAAAACGCCTGAGGCCTGAGATATGTTCATCAGTGCAGATCTAAAAAGTTTGACAATAGTCACAACGACTCACAAGACAATGAAAAAAAATCAAATTTTTGAATTTTATATTTGGCCATCATGCGTAAGTAGGGTCACATGTGTATAGTGTGAAAGTGTAACCAAACTGAGTGACTATGTATATGCTACTGGTTGGTGGTCTAGTGGCAATTTTGCTCACACACCAGATGGGCTTAGCCACCAACTGCAGGCCAGTCGATTTCCGCTTGACGAACATGGCAACGTTCTTAGCCCCGAGTTCCCCAACTCATCGAACGATACTCCAGACCTGATCTGTGCTTCTAGATCTGGCACATGATCCAAGACCGGTCCCTGCATGTGGATTGGCATTCGGATTCGTGTGGATCGGTATCCGTTATCCTGGATTTTGTTGTGCTGGTGAGCCCTCATTTATTTTGAATGATTAATTCTCATTGCATGGAATCCCTATGTGTGCTTTTCTCACATAGACATAGCGGATTGTGAATGCTTCTGCACTTGCTCCTTCGACGCATGACTGATGCATCGCGGTCTAATCATTTCTGAAGTTCTGGGTTAGAGTGAACTAGCACCCTCATCTTTGGTGTCTGGTGCGTGATTCAATTTGAACGTGTCCCATTTTCTTCATTATTCGCCTACAGACAGCGCAGCCAGATGATCTTCATCCAGTGTTAATAAGATACGCGCCGACTAAGAACGCAAAGGTCGTCGCCATCTGTCACTGCAGTGGTTGATGCCTTCAAAGGTGCTGTATTGCAGCCTACTGTTGGCACTCATGGTGAAAACGATGCACGGTGCCATGCGTTAAACATTCAACTTCGGATCCTGCAAACCTTAATATCTGACTTGATCACCAATTTTCTTTCAACACATGGTGAGTTTCTGGGAAAGTTACGATCTGTCTATACTTCCTGGTACCTATCTGATTATCCGTCAAAGGCACTGTTTCTCTGTCTTGAGCTGCAGGATTCCAGGATTGCAGTGGTCTCCTCAACAGCTCGATTATCACCATGATGGACAAGTTTGTACACTCAACACCCAATTTGTTCGCGACGCTTATGCATTGATTCACAAACTTGGAGAGCTAGTTCTTGTTCTTGGAGCAGCTTCATGGTCTTTGTTGTTTCTCCATGCAGTTTGTCGTCATGATCGATTTGGTTTCGACTATCATCCAGCCTATCACTGTCAGCTACGTACATGCGGTTTCTCTTTGAGGTTTTCTTCAGATTCTGATTTGATCATGAAGTTATAGATTGAGGTCTCCACCAAGCTGGAGACTCTTCCTGTCATCTTGCTCGTCATGATCGGTGCTGTGTATGATTTACAAGCTCTCGTGTTTATCCTCCGCAAGTGGGACAGAGGATGTTCTTCTACATTTTAGCTATCCCGATCTTGTCTCATGCTAACAGTCTATTCGTTTTGGCCTATGGATAATTTTTCTTAGGGTGCTACGTGTCTGGGTCTCATAGACCCTTTATAGGTACCGAAAAGATTGCCTGAGGTGCAGGGGTTCTACGAAACGGTTGACTTGGATGTTAAGATATGTAGTCCCAGGTGAGCTTAATACTTAATTCGATCTACATCTAATTGGTTGCCTCTATCCCATGAATGCTAACATTATAAATACAAGTAGAATCTACCCCCCAGTTATCCTGGAACTCGAGGAGAACTTTCTGAAAGGAAAGATTATTGTGATCGGTGTACACATCTGAATCTACTTCAAAAGATTGGGCTGCATTTCCGCTATGAATGTCATATGTTATGTTTGCCAATTTGAAAAGGGGTGGATGTGCAAAGTGAGAACTGTGTGACACAACCACCACCAAGCACGAGGAGTGGCACACGAGCGTACTACCATGCGTATGACGCGCAGCTGACTTGACCTGCTCTGGGGAATCCAAAATACCCCAAAGTGCCATTTTTCGTGGTGCCTTCTGCATGTCAGTTGAGGCGACCAAGGTTGAGGTGACGTGAAAAATTGTAATGTTTGTGATGTAAATTGCTTCTGAGATGTATTGCGAGGCTACCCTTCTATCCCAAAAAGGACCAGCAGTTGCCAACAGCTAGATCTCCATCGATGACCACAGTGGGAAGATTGGCGGATGGATAGGACAAGTCCCACCCTAGTAGGACCTCTGAGAACCAGGATGGGAGTGTTTTAGCAGGTAGCTGATTGGTGGATGTGAGCTGTTTGATTATCTCTGCTCCAGCACCTCTGAGTGCAAAATCGCACTGAGGATGTGCGCAGTCCATTGCGACGATTAAGTCACGAGACTCATGGAGATTGATTTCCAAATACTCGACGCGTTCTTCCAATGATTTTTGACATGCTAGTAAGAAGTCCACTGGTGGCATGGCGGAATGCAAGTCAGTGGTTGTAGGGACAGTGTGGGGCAGGGAGAGGTGAAGGCTACCCTGTGTCGCAACAGAGGTGTGTTCGAATAATACTGGGGTTGGCGTGTAAGAAAATGGTAAGGAAATGATAAAGGCCCTCCATATCCACAACCCCATACAAAACCGCAGGATAGCGTCACAGATACATCCAAGCATCGTGTACATAAAAACGACAATTGTCTTTCGGAGCGCACTTTGGAGTGTGCTTGCGCAAGGTGTGTCAGTACTGGCGGCAGGCTCTTTATTCTGATGCTCATGTGCTTGGAGGCATATGCATGATTCTATCAGCTTAATGTGAATAATAATTCACACATCAAAATTAGTGACAACACACCTTTTTGCCAGAGCTCTGTCTTGGAATTGGAGACTTCTTGTTCTCCCTCTCTTGGTGGATTCTTAAATGTGGTGGGGCTGAGTGATGCATGTTCAAGTTGGTAAAAAGAATCAATTAGTCGTACCTTGATCGCATTGTGGTGTGGGTGCTCCTCAGGTATATGCACGAGTGACTGGAACGACGAATTTTCTATCCAGAAACAATGCAAACCGAAGTGTTTAACTAGGTCTGCATCACCTATTTCTTGATCATTTGAGAGTGGCATAGAGGTTTCTTTCCAGATCTACAGTACTAGTACCACTCGCATTCAAGTTGGTTATTATACTAGCACTGTCGGGTGCAATAGAACAAAGAACACGATGCATAAGTGGCTCGCCGACTTTCAAACGTTATTCTCACTTAGGGCCAAGCCAATTTCATACTGGACCTCATTCCTAGAAGTGTATTGTTCCGCAATTGTATTGATTCTGTCAGTGTCCGCTTCAATGACGTATAATTGAGCGACAATCTGGAACTTCAAAAGTGCAGCAGCACTGTGCTTCAGGTATGAACCCGAAGTCCGTCGATCGATGAAAGGTAACAGGAGGACTTCGCTCGACAGGCAGATATGATCCTGGAGAAAGTATATGCAAATATGTCTGCCTGCCATATCAAACAAGAGAACTGGAAGCCGGCCATGGATACTGCTAACAAGGTTTGTTGCCCTCCAACGCAAATTTCTCTCGCTTAGTTTTTTAGGCTCTTAGCAAAAACGCTGCTAATTCTAAAGCACTTCTCCGAAAAGCAAAGGCCCTTAGAGAACTTGGATTTTTCGAGAAAGCCGAGATATATAGCTCTCAACGAGATCAAGGTCGCTCCCAACGGTGTGGTTTTTTGAATTCGCTTTTGAGATATATTGTTGACCAACGAATATGTGCTACTTACATTCATCTGTCAGAGGCGCCTACGGCCGACGCAGAGCTTGCGCATCAGAAAGTGATGGACCGTGAATGGCAAAAGGCTCGCGATCAGAAAATGAGAGGTGAGATTGTTCTCTGTTCCTATTTTCCCTACTGAGATTGGTCACGATCAACTAGATCTATTGGTAATGTTTCTTGTAAGTGAGGGGAGAAATCCACTGTGGTTCCCCATTTTGTAATGCCAGTACTCACATGTACTGGCCAGGTGGATACTGACGATCCCCTGGTTGTAAACTCTGCCATCCGCCATCTACATCTAACCTACGGACCCAAATGGTATCATTCATTATACCTCCATGATCCATGTGATGGATATATAGGTGGCCTTCTGGGATGTCGATATCGGGTGGAATTGAAGGGGGAAAAGTAATATTGTCAGGTCCACAGGACTCGTACCAGGAAGTAATAACACTTGTTCTGTTAGCTTTCCTTGACCGAATTCATGCATAGGTCGTACCGGTATCCGAATGACTGCTAGTATCTGAGACCTTGGTGTCATTATCGGAGCTTTGACGAGTCACTGATATGTCATTCTTCTCCTCGTCAGAGTTTTCTGACTGAATGTTGTATAGATATTGCTCGATTTCATGCTGTGATCATCAGGCTCGCAGGGGTATTAGTCATTAAAAGCTAACGTACCTCACTATTATCCCTTGTGATCATGTTGTGTGCCATATTTCTGACTGGTTAAAGCTCAGCATCATTTCTAAAGGTGGTCATGAGGGTTTTACAAGCTTGATGTAAGAATACTTACTGCAGCGACGAAGAGGGGGAGTCATGACTCGCTGGCATCTGCACCTGATGGGCGGCCAGTGGCACTGTGAAAGCAGTAGGGCTTTCAGGTCTTGTTGTATAAGGCACAACTATGCGGAACTGAAGTTCCCCAGGCTGATCATCTCTTCCAGTTCTTCGCATGGTTGTAATCGGATGGGTACCAAGAATGATAGCCTATTAATAGTACTTACCATTATTCACACATGATACAAGTCGCGATTGAGATATTTGCTTGTCACAAAGGGTTTCATTGTATGAATGAAAACCACCCACACACAAAGGAATGGTCAAACATCGAGTCATTCTTTATATGCATGTTAACTCATTGTTTTGCAGTCACCAGCCCAAAGTTTTAAAAGTCTGATACTGTGTATTGTATTGGCCTTGAAGCTTGAGGTCGCATCCCGTGCCACCATGCTACACGGCACCCGGTTTTCTCTTCACTCCCAGTCTCCCAGTCTGCCGCCAGCCAATCTCATCGTCAAAACTCACTCATTCACTTTGTCCATCCTTCTTCTTTCGGCCGTCAGACTTAGCAGCAGCCTTCGTGCCTGAATTCTATAATATGCAAGCATCATTTTTTTCATTGCCTTTGTCTGTATGCTCATTTGAAGCAATTCTGCTGCTCAAGCCTCTTGTTGAAGTGGGTGTTTCTCACTCATCTGAACAGCCCGAATTTAACTTCTTACAAAAACCTCGCAGCCCTACATTCCAGTGACATCAACCCCCAAGTTGCAACACGCACACTGCACTATAGTATGCTCACTGACGTGGCAGCAATCGAGTTTGAGGTGTCCTTCAGGCGTCTGAAGAGCGTGTCTTAAACTCAAACGACTTCGTGCTGATCTCCTTCTATTATTTCAATTTGACGTCTATAATGCCGTGTCTGTGACATAGCTATACCGCTGTGCTATCTATTTGCGATGAACATGGTAGCCTTGGCCCTGCAAGTAACTTGAGTGTGACATTTGAACAATTTCTCTACAACTAGACCATCCGTTGTTTCATCCTCATCAACATGTACTAATTCTGGAGATAGTACAAAACATTCAAGAATAATCCGAGTCTATCAAAAATCAATCAAGCAGTGCCTAGCACATAATAATCAGGATGAGCTTTGATAAAAGAACTGGTGTGAACCTTACTTGGTCTCTTGGCAGTCTAGGTATGGGGACTATTGATCCCATGGTGGATAGTATCAAAAACGATGTTTTGAATGCAAGGCTCGTCGAGACTAGCGACCATGATGCACAATTACAAAGATGATGAACTTGGAAGGCGATTGGCGAATGAGAGAACTGAAACCAGTTGGGCTGGGAGTAGGGGAAGCTCAAAGGTGGCAAAATTGACGAGTTGAGATGCCAGAAGAAAGGACTTTGGCTACATCAGGTGCACAAGTAAGTCTTGGGAGAGGCAGGATAACAGGACGATATTGCCAGTGCATGCGTTCAAAGGACCGACATGATGATGTGCTGGAGCAGCTGCTCGACACGAAAAACAATGACAGCATGTGATTGCAGGATAGATAGCCAGATTCGAGGACTGGGAAGCACCGACTGCTCGATTGAATGCAATTAGGTGTTGGAGAAGGTCCGACTCATCGACAAAGATCACATCAATAACTGTTTGTAAAGTCTGTGCTCTCGATAGGATCTGCTTCAGAAGGAGTTTGTGATATTTTTAACGCCAACAATTGCATTTAATTCATGAGTACAAATTAACTCTCACCTGCAGGGTAACTCTCTGGTTCGTCTATCCTGGCCCATTCGGATTTGGAGACCTCATAACGGCAAAATTGCAAATATTTGTCACGGTCTGCATGAGCTCAGGCGGGATGGGTAAATGTGATCCCTGTGTCAAGTCTTCTATTCGCATAAACGACAATATGACAGCAAAGCGTGAAATTGTGATTGCAAGAGGTAAGTCTAGTAGCAGTGAGATGACAGCTAAGACAGTGCTTACAAGATCGCGTATATATCTTGCATGCCACTGTGCACACGTTCAGCTACTCCTGCATGGTACTTGCAATCGGATATCTGACAATATCAGCCAGTTTTAGAAGATCCAGAGTTCACGGCATTCACCACAAAAAACGACAGCTATTGATATGGGGCCTTGATTCCACCTGGGAGTTGAACATTGAACAGTGAACACGTGGGTGTGCCTGAGCAAGTTGTTTGATAGGCTACCTGTAATGTAACTGACTTGGAAGGTCAATGAAAATTTCGAACAAGTCATGGCAGCCTTCTCTTGAATGTAGTATGTGATCTACTAAAGCTGTAATGCGGGTCACCCATGCTCTGAATAATGAGCAAAAAAACAAAAACAAAAGAGACCACGATACGTCGTTAGCAAATATGTAAAGAGAATGCATAGATTTTCTTTCATCATCGACAGTAGAACTAATAGTCATTCGCACACCCAAACAGTAAAGAGGAGAGAGAACTATGAAGCAACACAGCATGACATAGTGGACACAACTGCACCCCATGCTGGCGGTATCTCGTGTCTGGAAATATGCATGATATTGATTTCTCATTCATGTCACCCCACCCTACGCGACCTAGGCTTCTGGTTCGGAGTGGGCGTCCGAGGAACGGGTGGCGTATGAGGTCCAGTAATATGCTTGTGATGATCCGCAATTCTGATAGTCTATTGCATTAGCGGAGGGTACATGATCATTGCAGTGAGAGGGACTCACTGAAGAATGGCTGGTGTGTGTTTCAGATCAATGACAGGCTGCATGTTGAGAGCATCTATTTCATCCTCGTCGAGCGTCTCAAGCCAGACCGAATTATAACAATTCGCTGGAAGACCCTTGATGACTTCCGCATCAGCCTCCACACGACAGGTAGGAAATCGAAATCGAGGGAATGCGCCTTGTGTTGGACGACCATTACTTTTGAAATGAGTTGATATGTGACATCGGTCGATGATACAGAAGAATCTAGTCAGTCCCGGGGCTCTCCAAGGAATACCAATGATTCCGTATCCATCTACTTCGCTTTCGTCCCCGCTATGCGCCTCAAAGGTTAGGCGCCGAAGGAAGGGCAAGAAGTGTTCCAAATCTTTGAAGGCTTTGGCAACATTGGTACGGCGCACTGAAAGCTGAATCAGTGTAAGTTAGCTGATATATAAAATGGTTGCAGACAAAGGGACACACACCATATCGGTGCTGTTGCCGGGCATTGGCGCTTTTGTTGGGTCGCCTAGACATGTCTTCGCCTCCACTATCGCACTCCCCATCATTCCCATCGTCTCCCTTATCTAGCTGTTCCATTTGCGTTCTGAGACTCTTCAGGTGGATCAAAAATGTTGCCTCGATATCATTGGAATCTGTTGTATTGTAGCTTCCTGATTCGATAAAATCCTTGCGGAACACAACAGCAGCACGCTTGTTCCAAGCAGACGAAAGACTGACTTTGAGGTCCACACAGAAGTCTTCAGTCGTAGGCCCTCCTGTACCTGTAACTGCAAAGTGTTCCACTTCCTTCACAGAGGCAAGATTTGATGATGTAAATGGTGACTTTTTGCTGTCCCAACCCATGAGCTGTAGGGTGTGTGTTTGAATGTTTTTCTACCAGATCGATCAGTATATTGCAATAAATGAAACTGTGTGATAGTTTACCAAAAGCTCACTAACTTTGAAGGTTCGATGGTTTACCAATGAGGTCCTTGGTTTGGCCTGATGCATACGGGCATTTACAGGTTGCAACTCGTGGCTCTCTAGATGCTGATCTTTCAGCTTTACAAGGATGTCTGTTATCGCGTTGAGTTTGGAGAGCAAAGTGGGCGCAGGAGTGTCATTATCGCATATACATGTCTTGATTCCCTGAAGTAGGGAAGTTATTCTTGCTACATCACCGACTGTAGCTGGTTCATTCTTAGTGTTTGGCACTTGTCAGTCTTCACCATACAGACAAAGGTGGATCCGCATACCTGATCACGTTGCAATATATGTTCAATCTCATCAACATTGTCTTGAAAAATCCCTCCGTCCGACTTGACCATGAGTACTAAGCAATGAGCAAGTGAAGAAAGATGGACTCGTACAGATTTCTCGAAGCCATTCCAATCTAAATATCTTTCCTCGCCATCTGAAACCGAATCTTGCATTGGATAATCTGGCTCATCAACGGAATGCATGTTATCTTGGATGTCAACATGCTTCCGGGCTCCAAGATCATCTAGACGCCAATATTGATTTCGATACTGATCTTGGTCATCAATATTCATTGCATTTTCGCCATGGCTGGTAGTCTCAGAAGAATTATCGTAGTTTACTTTTGGAGTAGTTGTGAAATGCGAAGGCTGTGGCTCATGAAGGATGGCTGTGGGATCAAAAATATTAGTGTCCACTGAACACTTTGACTGTTGACCATCGTAGTCGGCAAAAGTGTCATCCAATGTAGTGTTTTTGTCTAATCCCATAGGAATGGAGTCGTCTGACTTCTCGGCTTCATCAACTAAAATGCAGTTGCTAGGTTCATTGTTCGAGTAATGGGGGCCATCTAAGTCGGCGAGTTCATTGTCAGACCTTGCATATTCGTCTTCCAATGGACCAGCACCATAGTCCAACCTGCAGTCGCCAGGTTCAGCATCCAAGCGATGCGAGGAATCGGAGCCACCAGAGTTGTTGGCATATAGTCCGTCAGATTCGTTGTCCGAGCAATGGGAGCCATCTGAGTTGGCAATAGCATCATCGTCAGACTTTACATATTCATCTTCCGATGTATCAGCATCGTAGGCCAACTTGCAGTCGCCAGGCTCGTCATCTAAGCAGTGCGAGTGATCGGAGCCACCGGAGCTGTTAACATCCAGCCTGCCAGGTTCATTGTCCGAGTGATGCGAGCCATTTGAGCTACTAATGTCACCATCAGACCTTCCATTTTTATATTCTGATGTATCAGTATTGTAATCCAACCTGCAATCGCCTGATTCGTTGTCCAAAAAATGTGAGGAGGTACCAAAGTTGTCGGTGTCCAGCCTGCTAAGGACAGTCCTAGGAGACTTAGTTACACAAGATCTTTCCCGTCTGGCGGAGCTGCAGCCCAAGGTGGGGGGTAAGGAACTGCACTGTACATGTGCATTATCGGCCACATGGTTACTGCTGAATGGAGCAATGAGCAAGGATTCAAAGCCTAGCTGACTGCCGTTGGTTAGAGATGACGAAGGCTCTTGGTTGAGATCCTGCTCTAATTCGCTTTCACAAGTGGGAGAGTTACATAGGGGAAGGTCTGTATAATCATCCAGACAACGCTCTACATTGTTGTCACCATTATGAGCAGAGTTCAAAAGTTTCTTGGGGGTCGACATTCTCCCTGGAGCGATCATAACATCTGCAGAGTTGTGATCATTTTCAGCGCTTTGCCAAAGGAGCTTACTGATTTCTTCGTCCTTGGAACTTTCAAAGTGGGGAATGTCCGTAACCGCTTCAGCCTTAGTGGTATGAGTGCAGGTGGAATCCAAATCTATTGTTGCCAGAGTAACCATTGTATTGGCAGAATTGAGATCATCCTCGAGCTCGATACCTTGAGAAAGGAGCACCCTGCCTAGATCTTCAAGTTCCTTAAATTGTAATAGGAGCCTACTAGTCTCTTCATCACTAGAGCTTTCAGACTGACGAACAGCCTGCCTCCGTTTTAGGGTTAGTGGTATGAGTGAAGGTGTAATCTAGATCCATTGTTGCTGGAGTGACTGTAGCATCGGCGGGATTGAGATCATCCTCGAGCTTAATGGTTTGAGAAAGGAACACCCCGCCAAGATCTTCATCCCTGAAGCCGTCGACATGGATGTTGATCTCTGACTGGGGGTGAGTAGTGTGCATGGATTGAGCCATTTGCAGATCTGTATGCAATGAATCAGGCCTCGGTGCGGAAATGTATGTGAAAGACCTTTACGAGCTGTCAAAGCCTGATCAGGCTGTGACTCGGAGGAAGCTGACGTAGGAGCACAAAGTTGTACAACATCTTGAGCACTCTCTCCACGGTGGCGGGCCTGTCTCGCGTGAAAACAGCCAACCCAACTCTGAAATGTTGAGCGATATATGGCAGCTAAATCAATATAAGGATGGCTAGCAGGTTCTACGTCGTTTTCTCCTGAGGATCTTGCCTCCCGGACCTTTTTAGTTTTGGGCGAGTCTCCAGGTGGATTTTCTTCTGCCTTGCGTTGATGCCCATACAAATCGGTGAAACAGCACGGGAACGCTTAGGGGGGGGTGAGTGAGTGGGTCCTTGAATTGATTCGACCTTGCATTTCTGTGATTTCGGAAGAACTCCTGCATGTAATGAAATCTGAATCTGCGCACATTGATACACATCGTACGTAGTACCTGTATAATTGATACCGTCCTGTGCATCATCTAGATCTGTATCAAATCCACCTTATGTTCCAGTTGTAATTCATATTGTGACTACAGCTTCTCACCTGTTCGTAATGTCTGACTCAATCCTTTTGCTGTCAAACAAGTAGACCTTTGACAAATTTTGAATGGTGTTCGCAGCGAACTAAATGTTTGTTGGGCTAGGTTCGACATTCTCGCTAGCAAAAAAAGAGAGAAGAATGCACATGTACAGTGTGCTGTGGGTTGCCACTCGTGCAATCACATTTATGATACAAATGACAAAGAGAGCTGTGCATTGGGTCTCCATTGTTTGACTTCCTTTTCCGGTTCCTAGTCTTAGCATATCAGCGCATGCTTCTCGGTTTGTTTGATCTGTGAAGTTGTTTCAAAGTTCTTATGGATTCCTTTGTATGATACCGATGTTACAAACTTATAAGATATATCCGACCTTGAAAGGAACGCCAAGGCGATAATTGACAAAGAGAACCATCTTCCATTTGAACAGAACAAAATCTAAATACAATCTCTACCTGTCCGCCCCAATGCTTGAAGCTTTTGCAACGTCTATCCAATCCATGATCTTGAACTTGTTTCAGCCACAGATCATTTTTGTCACTGCTCCGGAGGAAGATGCAGATCAGGATGACATTGTTAGCATACAGAGTGGTAGCTCAGACATATCTGATCACAGAACTTCGGACATTAATCTGGTTGGGCCGCTGGTGAGTTAATTTTGTACCGCAGTCTAGTCCATGACACTATATTTGTATGCTTCACTATTAGATGGACGAGAATGCGTTCTTGAGGGCGGAACTTACCAGGGAGAGGGATCATTGCACATATCTCCGGGGTGCCATTTCTACAATTCTTACCACCATCAAAGATGGTGTGCAGTGCAAAGTTTGCACCAAAGTTATCTGCCAGCCATACACGTGAGTAGTTCGGGATTCCTTGCACATGTAATGCATCTGAGTGTTAGCGCAGCCTTGCAGAGTGTGGCCACTCATTTTGTCTGCGCTGTCTTCAACAGACCTTGCGTGTGATATTATGCGACCATATACAATTCAAGCTTGGCATGGATTGGCCCCGTACGCCAAAGGACCAATGTCCGCACAACAGATGTCGACCATCGGGGAGATGATCCGCCGATTGAGCGATTGTTGTCTTCTGTTACCGGTGTACAAATGCCCCAAGTGTCATAGCTGGATTTCTTCTAGGCCAATTCCTGCATTTGCACTAATGCAGCTTGCGGATGACGTGGCAAGGTTGTATCAGAAATTCAGACAAGAGAATCCAAACGGTGACGTACTAACAGTGGTCAGCGCCGTAGCTGCTGAGGACACTTGGAACACTTTCTTTCTGAAGAGATAATCGTCTCGTAGCTTCCTAGTCTGTATCTGTTGGCGCCATCAATACCATAGTACACTCGATTTCCGCACCTATACTTCCCTGATTTGCATCTTAGTATAGAGGACAGACAGGGCCTTGCTGTCCCCTTTAGTAGGCTAGATCTCTTGATAGATTTAATACATACCAGGTGCCTCCCAATACCGCTTCCAATATCCACCTGTACTTCCTAATAGGCCATTACCACCGCTCACAGAACTACTCCCGATAGCATCCACACCTCTCAGTAGGTCTCTCTAGAAAGTTCCTTCGACACTAACATGTGGTGGGCAACAGGATGTCTCAAAGTCAAGCACCCTTGTCATTCATTCTTGGCCTCTAGGAACCCAAATGGATCATAGTGAGGGTGTAGGAAAGGGCGCTGGATGGTGCAATTGGGCATGGTTGGATGTGGAGATCGCTGGATTACTGGATTCTGGAAGAGTAAATTAGACTCTGACATGGCAAAGTGAAAACGGTGGTGTCAATTCCACCGAAATCAGGTTGAAATCGATATCGATGATGTCCTTCTGGCCGTGTTTACCATGGAGGGTCACGGTCAAACATTCAGCCTCACATGTAACCAGTCCGAGCAATCGGAGATTGGACAAATACAAGTGTTGGTCAACGTTCAACATTCTCTGCCCCTGTCGGATTTAGGCAGGCAGAGACTTCAAGAATGGCAACGCCCCTTGAAGAAAATTTTGATCATTGGAGTACTGGGTTAATATCATACGCACCTCATACTCTGTTGTATTGGATGATGTCGGTAGCCAAGAATATTTGATCTATCTATCAGGGAAATTGGACAAGAAGCGTGCACGTGAGGTTTTAAGGACAAGCTACATAGCTCTGGAGTATTTCGGGCAATAGCACATGATGATTCATTTAATGATAATCAACTATCGCGAAGCAGACAAGAGACCCCACAACCAAGCGACCCCTCCATAGTGAAACCGTGACAAACTGTATTCCAATACATTTGGAGATAGAGTATGTTATGTCGACAGATCATTATAAGCTTGCCAGAAGCTTGCAAACTCAGCATTGAACCTCCATGAATAAATAAGTAAAATTCGAAATAAGCAATAGTCGAAAGTGTTGACGTACCATGTCTGCTTCGCTGTCTCCACTATATCAGTGTCCTGCAGTGACATGCGACGTAACAAGCACTGTTCCAGCATAAACTGGTACAAGTCAAGGTGCAGCAGGGAATTGGCAGTCGTGTAGTTATATTGAAAAATTGCTGATTGGATTGGCTCGTAGACGGTGGCCATCTCCTCATCACGTTCCAACAGTGACCAGCTGTTATAGGTAACTGGGTCAAACTGGAAAAGAGTAGAAGAGGAGCTCAACTGAGGTCACAAATCAATCTCTTGTATATCCAACACCAGCTTCCAGGTATATTGATCACCGACGGTACGGGTCATGTAAGGGTAGAAGGAGGTCGAGGATGTATCGAGAGGTAGTGTTACAAGTAACATCGGTCACGTGGCCCCCCTATCATTTTCCCCTCATCCTCGCCCTCACCATCTACCGGCTCGTACTCCTTTACCGACTTTCCGTTGACCGGATCCTCGGGACCGTTCCTGTCCCTCGCATCATCCGACTCTATGCACGTGCACGCACGTTCCTCTCTTGACTCGACCACCAATGTGGTCCCGCATCTCTGACTCGGTCTGACTCGTGCCACCAATGTGGCTTTCCTCTTTCTGTTTCCCCTGACTGCGGATCCCCGCACGTTGTACTCGTACCGTTGGTCCGTTCCAACGTTTCTCGGTCTCATTTCACTTTCGACCATCCATCACTAATCCGGCTGTGCTGCCAACGCACCTATACCATTCCCGTATCCCCTTTACCCTTACCTACTGTGCGGTAGCCTTGCCCTTAACCCTCCCCACTTAGTATAAGTAGTCGGTCACCCTGTATTAGATTCTCTAACTTGAATCTACTCAATCTTCCCTGGAACATACTTCTCTCTGAAGCCCCCTCAGCTTCAGTCTCTAGTATCTTTTCTCAGTCGCTCTTCGCGACTGAGTCTATCTCGATCGACCTCATCGTTCGGACAAGACTGTCCTTACCTTGAGTGACTTCTCACGACATCCGTCTATGAAGTCACGTGACACGCGCGTACTGTGATCACTGCCGACTAGTCGTCGCCAGTATCACTTGCTATACCGGATCCTTCCGGTTACGTCACGAATGTTAGCGGACGACGCCCCTCTTAGGGCTCCGCCTAACAGATCTATTTGAGTGCGTAACAGGTAGGGTGGAAAGCCATTGGAAGCCCCGTCGACCATACTTTATTGTTACATTAACGTCATGCAGCGGTCTTGTGTGCCAAACTTGAAGAATGTTCCGGTCTTCAAAGGTAGCTATCGGATACAGGGAATAAGCTGCATCAAATGCTATGAAGTTCATGACACAGGCTGTAGACACTTAGAAAACAGTAGTCTAATGGGGAATAGCCATGGACTTACTGGAATGGAAATTGATGATGGTGTCAAATGGGCTCGTGACACATTCTATAACCTGAATCTTTTGATGGCCATTGGATCTGTGTTTCTCAAGTGATCATACTGATCTGACCCCTTTGATTGGATAGTCCTGGCGCACTCGAGAATTGTCCCATTTATCAGAAACAAGCTTCCGGTAATCGCGAGGTTGCTTGGAATGTGGCTTGAATTCATAGCCTTCTCTTTCAACAACATAGTCCATAACCTCTCTTGCATGTCCTGAATGGATGTACAAGTCCATGTCGGCTTCATCATAGAACGTCCTATCCAGAAACTGCAGTGCATTTGAGCCTGAAATAAGTGTACCAGTACGTGCCTGTAAACTGCGAAAGAGGGGAGGTTTGCTAATGAAGCTAGAAAGATGTCAGTTAATGTTGAAGGCGCGCCTGGAATAGTCTTTGGATGCAGCATATGCAGCATGACAGCTGCGCCCAAGGTGCACAAGCTCCCGAGGCGAGATGTAAGAAAGTATGTTGTCGTAAACTGGAGCACGATAGAATATTTCACCTATCATGCACTCATCCGCAGGCTGAGGCTTGTGACCAGTGAGTGGCTCAGACATGGGGCTTCAACTGCAAAATCGAGGAGATGGATTAAACTTAAATTCTACTGACATATTGATTAAATGAACATGTTGATGAGCTGTGACTTGAAAAAAAGACAAAGGTAGCATTGGCTGTATCCGAGTCATGAGTCCAACTGACATTGAAAATTGACAAAGCTGGCCAAAGAAACTATCTCGCTATTGATTTCAACATAAAGAAATTTTGAATCCATATCAGCAAGGAGAATCGACTGAATTGTCGCCTCCTTGCCAAGACTCTCCGAGCGTGTTGCTACAAAACGGTTGGTAAAGACAGCGCGACAGGATAAAGACACTCACGATTGAAAGGCCAGGTTTCTGAGCATGTACTGTTACCGCTTCTTGTGACAAAGCAGATTGCGAGCGCAATATTACTGGGATTAAGACGGATTAGTCAGCGCCTTCGATTCTTTGTTTGGGCTAGAGCCTTTGTTCCTGTCGAAAACAAATTCCAGTTTCAATGACTGCACCTTATTCGAATAGAGGTTCGTGGTTGTTTCTTCTCTTTGAGCTGGTGTAATCATTGATGATCCTTTCTTGTGCACTGTGATTTGCAGATTTGGGCCAGTCACCTGCAGGGCACATGTCCTGTGACCGCCAAACCATTTTTTGTTATTGCATACCCAGTAGTGTGCGTATTATACCCCTTGCAGAGACGTCGCATTTATTGATTCCGCTCATATGTAGATGTCGCCCGAAGGAGATCGCTCATAATTTATATAATCAACTGAGCTACTGGAAAGGTAAAAGATAAAAGTACGCAGTACCACTATGATTAATGACCACTCCTGCCACTCCCAACACGAATCACCAGCGCTCTCATAGAACATGAAGGTAGAATTTGAAGACGAAGTCAATGTTGACGCTGTGGTAAATACTTGGGTTCATTCACGCATACAATGTGTTAATTCACCAAAATTTGCTCAGGAAAACCGGGCCACAACTCTTACAAATGGTTCCTCGAAGCTGCGTAGCCTTGCAGCACCTCCGCGTCGAAGGGTTAAGAAGGGTACTACAGTGGACAATGTACAACTTAAGGAAGCTCTTTCTGCTGGTGCTCACCACTCTAGTGCTTACGTCTTTGACGTCTTCCTTCATGCATTGCGGCTCATGCGTATACCATTATCAACTCTTCTATTCCTTTGGATGCTGGCATCTGTCATGATGCGCCTTTTGGATGCGCTTCGCACAGTGTTTGTCCCAATCTGCCACCTTCCTTTGGTCTCCAGGTTGGTGCTGTGCGGTGTAGTGGTGTCGCCTAATAGTCAGGGTCCACAATGGGCAGACTTTCCAAAACTTATGCAAGTTCAGAGCTCAATGTTCGAGCAACTTTTGGCTGGGTCCATCGGAGGTTCTGTCCTCTCCCTCGAAATACAGAAAGTGGAATTCGCAACGGCTGATCTTGCGACTCTTGTTCGAAACAGTGACATCGAATCCAATGAGATCCTAGCTAATCTCTTGGAGATGTTTGTCAAAGATGCTGAGAGGACTGCTAGAGGTCTCACAACACTCAGTTCGAGGGTGGGTGGCACTGTAGATAAGTAAGTGATTCGTATGTGCAGCACTGAAAGCTTCGTGCTCATATTTGAAAGTGTCATGGCAGTGAACGCGTATGCAATGCGTACCATATGAGATACGGAGAAGAACATCCCGCCGCCATATTCGCTCACGGCTTTGATGCCGTTCCGCACTGGACCCTCAATGCAAGAGGTGACAATCGAGGCATTCGCCGGCGCCATGGAGGCCTTCTCTACAGCAATACAACGACTTATTCTTGAAGCTGAGAAATCACTGCATAACCTAGACATACTAGAGGAAGATCTATCCAGTGTATATGAAGTTGTGATACATGAGGACATTTCCATCACAGCACAAAAATCTGAGCTTTTAGGAGCCCTATGGACGAAGCTTGGCGGGAACCAATGTACGCTAATGGATTACGAGAGATGTCTGAGTCTACTCAAAGACCTTGGTAACTATCGGAAATATGCTCACGTGCATGTTGTTGCCGCACTCCAAACGCTGCACTCTATGGGCGAAGATATGGAAGATTTGCGTCAGAGAGTAGCGGCTCCTGAACTGATCAACGATAGGCGCATCCCACTCCACGTACATATCGAGAGCATCCAGAATGGTCTTCAGCGGCTACAAGAGGGCTGGGTGAGAACAAAAGAAATGGAAGAGGACACGATGACAAGAGTACTGGGCCTTGACACTGACTGACTTAAGAAGCGTGCGGGGTGGTGGGGGATTTCTCTGGATTGCCCTGTGCATAGACCAGATTTTATGATCATGATAGGCTTAAAGAGTGATCGACTTGTAATACATTTACATCATGAAGTATGCGTACAGGCTTTCCTTCGAGACAATGTTTGCAATGACTAACGGAATGATCACAAAAAGGCATATACTTGCTGTGACTGTAGTCCAAATCCTAGGATGCTTGTCCTTGCTAGTTTGCAATTCTGGAATACGTAAAGATTCAAGTTCTAAGATTGGTCATCCAGGATATCTCGACTGTCGTTGTTGATGAGACTCACTTGTGTTCTCCGTGCACCAAGCCATTACATTACCATTGGTGAAGCCTATTGCAACTCAGAAAACATCCTGATCTGCTACACAGCTAGAGTGAAGCTGTATATATTTGCGAAAAGTATGATCACGATCATCAGCTTTACCAAGTCGCATGAAAGTTGCCACTAACAGTTATAGCGAGAACAGATGAAAATACTGTAATCATCGTCCATAATTTAGCACCTCATCAATGGGAAGACGTAGATTCAGCACCTTCAGGTATTAGTGTTTGAATCCTCCTTCCACTTTTTACGTCCCACAGTGCCCACTTTCCTTTGTGGTTTCTTCCAAGCAAGGCCATGCCTTCATGTGCAAACAGTATGGGATATGACGGTTCTCCAGGAGATCCAGAAATGGCTTGAGGTATAGGTGCATTTGAACCGATATGGTATATGTTGTATCCACGCCTGGAACTCGATGTTGCAATGAAGTGCTCATTAGGCGAGAGGGATGCATAATCACTGGATGCTAACGTCAATAACCAAATGCGTAGTTCGATGAAAAGTTACATTGCCCCAGGAAAACTCATCACCCAATTATAGTGCCCTTCCATGATATTCCAGCAGCTACGAATATGTTAGTGAAGCCGATGATCAGTAATGTTGTAATGAAGAGATAAAGCAGTATGCACACTATCCCGTGGTGTCGGTATGAAACAATGACTGTAGTTGAACCGGTATTGTAGAGCCAATGCAGCGATGTGACAATGACTTCTTGTCCCCTTGGAAATCCGTCCTCTGGTGGATTTGGAAGAGTACTTCCAAGTTCCCATCTGTCTTTGGAATCAAAACAAAGCTGTGAGCTATATAGCAAGCTGCTGAACATTGATATTGAAACTGACTGGCAGGTTTGTCTCTTATCCAAATTCTGACTTCTGTCTTACTGCCGGTAGCAAGGTACAGGTCATGTTTATGGGCTGTCATCAGAGTGACTGAAGACTTGTGAGCCAGCACTCCTTCTCCTTCCAGTTGCTTCGAACCAGTGTGTATTGATAATAATGAAATTTAATTGGTATAATATTGTACGCACCTGCAAGTCATCATTAGCTGTTAGGGATATGAGAAATCCATCTTCGAAGCCACAATGCAGCGCATTGTCTTGCCCAGTCCAAGAAAGTGCATGACATGGTGCATTTCCCTGGCAGAAGTGCAGTGCAACACCAGTTGTAGAGTTCCAGATAATCACACGCTTGTCCGTACTAGTGCTTGCCAAAAGACGACCAGATGAATTCAACATGAGACACTTGATGTCGCCCTTGTGGGTAACAGTAAAACTTTTGCGATACTTGAGAACCATATGGCCAGGAGTGTATGTGATCAACTGATTTTGGAAATCAGGAGACAAAGGGCATCCGAGTCTGAATTTTGTCCGAGTCGCATCATGCAATTAATATTAAGACACAACTTTTTCGACTCAAATGTACATGAGTATAACCTTACGTCAAGTGACCATAAAGCCTATCCCTGTCTCTAGCTTTGATAAGTATTTTGTGTTGCGACTCCATTGGGGCCTTCAGAAAATAGCTAGCAATGAAGGTTTGGTGGCTCGAGCTAATGACCACAGAAAACAAAAGAGGTCGATAAATATATGCCAGGACAAGAATGCACATGCAGATCGCAGCTGTCGCCATGCACCAGGGAGTATTAAATGTTGATGTGCTTTGATGGTGCCAGTACCTAATGTATTCTTTGTCTGAATCCTGGCAGACGAAGTGTCCAGGTATAAGTCGCATTTCGTCTTTGTCATGAGAAACATGTGCAGATGGTGCTGCAAGCCAAGCTGATGTGTAAGTTTCGGGAACTCCAACCTGTGATAGTGAAATTAACATCCAGTAATCAGTTTGAGTTGTTTCCGCTTACTGGAGTGTCTTGACCAAGCACTTCATAATCAGGCTGAGGGTCGATGATGCATCCAGAGTCCTGCTTAATCTGTGAATCCGGGTGCAAAATGTGCGAGTCAGACATTGAAGCAGAAACATCCATAAATCGAGTCAAGATTTCAGGGATATCGTCATTGCTGGAACCAGATTGTATGTCTCACAATTCATCCAGCAAGGAGCGCTCAGGGCACATGTTGTGAAGTGTCCGATCTTCATCCTAGCCATCCAACCCTCGATTAGTGCGATGACTGGCTTCCATCTGCACCTACCATGACAAGATAGAGAGTCAATGGCTCCTCAATAACTGTTAGGCTCGAGTCATCATATAGTGATGACGTGTCTGATACTGTCTCCATGTCAAAGAGAGGGCCAACTGAGCTCATTCATCAGCTTGAGGATGCCTTTCAAATGTATGTCTCTGTCCCACCTTCTTGTTTTGAAGTTTGCGAAGAGGCGGTGGCCATTGTGTGATCCACCGATCGCGAAGCCTCCAGAGTGACCAATCGATGTTCCATGTTTGCCTGCTTTGTATCGACTTCAACAAGGTGGCTCACAAGTTCGTCTAGGCGGTCACAGGTAAATTACACAGCACACATCGACTCGATTCGCTTACCTATGCCGTCTTGCATTCTATCACCGTGTACATGTCATTTGGAGTTCCTGATAGAATTTTTCAAGCCCTCTATCTCACTGTCGAAGTGCGTTTCTACAAATGACAGGTGAGTACTAGTGGAGTCCTGATTTTGCATGAGCCACCATAATTCAAGAATTCAAGATAGATGACTATGTTACCTCATCTCGACGGACCTGTTCCAATGCCCTCTCCACCTGATCGACACGACTGTCTACAGTTTCTATCAGCTGTTTTTTTCGTAACATCCTCGGTCAGATCATCGATGGATGAAAATATAGCATTTGAAAGAGGAATAGGCATGGAAGGTGCGGTTGAAATATGTGCCAATGCTATGGGCAAATAATATAAAAGTGACCTTAAGTTTGCTACAGCAGGACTGCCTTATTACTTCAAACACCCTTTATTTACGATTGCCCATTGTGTATCTCACCCTTGAGGATACTTTAAAGTTGCCCTTAGTTTACGGCTATTTCATGATTTACGTTTTGCAAAGGTGGCGGGTGTGTGGCTCAGCAACACCATGGAGCCACTGATATGTACTGCAGCATTTCCTTATTGCGACAGTAAGCACAATGTTCATATCCAAGGCTTGCTGACCGAATTGTCTGAGGGTTTTGATGCAAAGTCGTAAGTCTTTAGGGATAACACAGAAACGGAGTCGCAGATAAGTTTAAAAGGTTGGAAGGCGATCTTCGCTGGTGCTATGGAGCCGCGGTTGTCGACGTACCCCAGAGGCAGTGGCTTTGACGGAGCATCCCTTGAAGCGATAACGTGCTGGTAGAATTGACCGACTGAGATATGAAGAGAGCTGGGGACTTATAGATGCTCGCTATCATCTTGAAAATGTTACCCCACCCTGACGAGTATTAGTATGAACTAACTGAATGGGACCGACAAACTTACCTTGCCTGAACAGTTTGTGGCGGTTCATAAGTACACTTCCAATTAATTCCCAGGTGAAGGTCTTATGTAGGTAGCCGAACTTGAAGGAATTCAGTGTCTCTGAATTTGCAAGGAGACAAAGACATATAGCTTCGGAGTGTCGTCGCTCTCCTTGTTGACCATGTTTTCAAATATAAACATGATCAGTTGGCGCAGGGTGGCTGCACTGCTTCAAATCAGGGTTAAGAGCTTCGAGGTTACAGTTCAAGAAGCCCTCAGCGGAGTAGAATAGGTAAGGGGACATAGGTAATACTGAAATGAAAAACACTTGCATTTGCGTGCTGCAGAAATAATACATGTGTATATTGGCTTCGGTCACATCAAGTGCAAAAATGTGGGACGCGAATCAGTCCAACTCCAACACCATCCCGCGTTGTACACTTCCCCAACCTGATGCAAAGTCAGCGAATGAGTATGCTGAGTTCACAGAAACACTTGCCTACAAGCTGCCAATGCTTCTCAATACAGTCTCGAAAGTGCGACCTTCTCTGCAACCTCCGTACATGCGGGCGAAGTCAACTGGATCTTCGCGAGATCCCCTTTTACACCCAACACCCGTCCACCAGTCGACATCGACCCGATGTTAATCAATAGAAGCTCGTTCTTGGCAAGTTTCGAGACTTTTGTTTGTTTCTTGTCTTCTGTACGAACTCCCAGCCAACGGTGGAGAAGAAACAAACTGGTTTCAAGCTCTAGATTCTCTTTAGAACACGACGGCATATCAAAAACGAGGATGCTCACCGGTGTAGACCTTTGGCAGCTTCCCAACCACTCCCAGCACTTGACCAACGAGACAATCCGCTCTACACAATCCAGGATCGATCTTGGTCCCGACACCGATCAGCCCTCCTGGGACTGCAAACTGCAAGTGATTGTTCTCCGCATGCAGAGAAACGATCCTGCTGAAAATCGGCTTGCAGTGGTTCTGGCCCTGTGTGTCCTTCGTCACAATTCCCGGACAAATCTTGACTTCTTGTCCCAGCCGTAGGATGCCTGTGAGGATAGAACCACTGGCAACGCCGCCTTTGAGTTCATCAACCTCGGCACCAGGCTTGTTGACGTCAAAGGAACGGATGATGATGAGACAGGGATCAGAAGTAAAGTCCCAGACTGGGATAGGTGTGCGCTTTACGATGTATTCGTTCACAGCGTCGATGTTGTATTTCAATTGCGCAGATATAGGAATGATAGGTGACGACTCGGCCACCGTACCTGTTAAGAGAATTAGTACAATATTGAATGGTCCATGCTACCAGGGACGCACCCTTGACGAATGCAGTGATTGATTTTTGGTGCTCAAGATCCTGGGCTTCCCTGATCAAATCGACCTTGTTCTGCAAAATAATGATATTTTCCAGCTTCATGATCTCAACTGCGGCCAAGTGCTCCGATGTCTGCGGCTGAGGACGTGTTTTGTTTCCTGCAATCAGAAGAAGAGTGGCGTCCATGACTGCGGCACCGTTGAGCATGGTAGCCAATCAGAATGTCGTGACCGGGACAGTCCATGAAGGAAATATAGTGAATGAGGACCACATCCTGGCCGTTCGCAGGGAGAATTGTCTTACTTGTCTGAGCAATACGATCAATAGCAGCCTGGTGAGGACATGCTTCGTTCTCGCATTTGTGGATCTATGATGGTAGTTCTCAAGATCAAAGATGGAACAGACTCAGATGCGAATCAGAAGGAATGTACTTTTTCATTTGCATAACCCAGCTTGATCGTGATGTTACGAACCAGCTCCTTTTTGAATCGTACAGTCAGGCCTTCACCACCGTCGATTTTCTGTGTGCGACATGACCAATTAATAGCTAGATCATATATACTCGCAGAAGTCTGCGCACTCAAGTTAATTGTAGCCTAGAAGGATCGTGGTCAATGAATTGCTTCAGATAAAGGAAAGTTGGTTGCGCACCAGTTTTGATATTACTTCAGGTGAAAGTGGCATCAGCTTCGTGATATCGGGGTCAGGAAGGAGAGTGCAGAACTCCTCCTTCGCAAGTTTGATCTTGTAGAACATTGCATCCTCCAAAGCATCCGCTTGGACACCCAAGAATTCGGCAACAATGCCAAGGACATCTGTGTTACGCGTGACAGCAGCATTAACATCACGACCACGGTCAACGGTGAACTCAAGGTTGCCAAGGTGGAGAATAGCAGCAAGAAGTTGGCAAGTCTGAATGATGTGTCGCTTGGACAAGAACGTATGCGGAGGACACTGGAGAGCACCAGAAGAGTGGAAGGAGGGATGAGACAGGAAAGATGCAGGGTAGGATGCAGTGTAGGGCGCGAGTGGTGGTAGTAGGGCACAAGTGATGGTAGTAGCACACTGTAAAGTAGTAAATGAGAAAACAAACATGCGCACCTGGAAAAAGCAGTGAATGGCTGAGCTAGGACATTGTATATTGAACTGGGACATTGGACATCACACTCAGACATTGACCTGAGACATTGGATATTGGATTTGGACATTGGACATTGCACTCGGACATTGACCTGGGATATTAGATATTGAATTGGACATTGGACTCAGACATTGGAAATTGTACTTTGACATCAATCTTGGATATTGGACATTGGATTTGGACATTGGACATTGAATTTGGACATTAGATTGTGATGTGGAACATTGAACTAGGACACTGGACATTGAGCTTAGACATTGAAAATTGAATTTGGACATTAAAAATTGCACTTGGACATTAGATGGTGATGTGGAACATTGAAATAGGACATTGAACGTTGCACTCGGACATTGGATTTGAACGTTAGACATTGCACTCAGATATTGGACATTGAACTAGGACATTGAACATGGACATTGAACTTTGGATTTGGACATTAGACATTGAATTTGGACATTAGATTTTGAAGTGGTACATTGAACTAGCACATTAAACATTGAACATTGGATTTGGACATTAGACATTGGACTTGGACATTGGACTTGAACATTGGACATTGGACATTGGACATTGGACATTGGACATTGGACATTGAAGTCGGACATTGAACATTGCACTAGGACATGGCACATTGCACTTGACATGGCACATTGGATTTGGACATTGGACATGGACATTGGACATTGAACTCAGAAATTGGACATTGCACTTGGACATTGATGTGGGACATTGGATATTGAACTCAGACATTGGACATTGGATTTGGACATTGGGACATTGGATTTGGATATTGGACATTGAACTCGAACATTGGATATTGCACTTGGTGGGATATTGGACATTAGATTTGGACATTGAACATTGCACTCGGAAATTGGATATTGCACTTGTACATTGACATGAGACATTGGACATTGCACTTGAACATTGATGTGGGACACTGGAGATTGAACTTGGACATTGAACATTGGATTCAGACATTGGGCATTGCACTTGGACATTAATGTGGGACATTGGACATTGAACTCAGACATTGGACATTGGATTTGGACATTGAACATTGCACTTGGACATTGACGTGGGACATTCAACATTGAACTTGTACATTGAACATTGCACTCAGACATTGAACTCAGACATTGGACATTGAACTTGGACATTGAACTCAGTGTAGGTAAACAACAATGGCTGAGCACAACATGCAGTAAGCACTCAGCCAAATATAATAGTTGTGGTAGTTCTGGACCAACAAGGACTAGCATTGTTTAGTCTGCTATACTTGCAAGACAAGTGCATTTGAACCAAGGGGTTTGCTGTGTGGAATAGGTCTGTAGTTAGTGAATAGATAAACAGTCAAAAGTCCGAGCGCGAGAAACAATATCTGAAGGTATAATTACGAGTCTGATGCCAAAATGTCAGGTCCTATGTTTTTGGGTTTAGTGGCTTAGTGGGTTTGGGTTCATTGGGTTATGGTGAATAGTGATA